TAAAAGCCCTGTAAATACACATGATCAGTTGTAATGATTCCTCTACACTCTGATACAGTTTCCTTATGTATTATATCTGCAAGCATTAGAATCTCCTCATCATGGCAACACTGCCTTTTCTATCGTAAATATTAACATCCATTTTACAGACTTCAAGAGGGTAACAGCAATTAATATTTCTATAATTTTTCTCATATTTTTTTCTATTTTCTACAATTTTTTGTTAATCATATGTAGTAGATTTTTAAAGTTCCAGATATTGCTTTTTTCAGTTGCATATTTCATACATTTCTAGTTTCTATTTTCCTTGTGAGTTTTATTGTCTCATCATGATAAATTGTGTGTATGCATCCTTGAATATAGTTTAAAAAACTGCTTTAAATATTTATGTATTCTAACATCTGGTGTATCTCAATGCCTTTGATGCCTTTTGATGCTGTATTGGTTGAATTTTCTCTTAAGTATGGCTTACATTTTAATTTTTATATCTGTCTGGTGCTTTAAAAAAATGTGGGCTGTGCTTTGTAAAAGACGCCGCATAGAAAGTCTGGATTTCTTTAGGTGCCTCTGAAGAACACTCCCTCTTCCTTGTTGTTGTTATTGTTACTTCTGATGGTTAATGTGGCTGGACTCACACTCAGAACTCTGACCTTCCTGTGACCTTCAAAGAGGTTAAACTTGGTTCAGTTAAGACCGTGTTGGAGTACTTGGGCTCTTCTTGGGTTTAGGAAATTCTGGCATCCATGAGTAGTTTAGGCAGTTTGTGCACAGATCCGGAGGCTCTCTTTCTATGGCTCTCTGTGTTACAAGATTTCACTTCGTGGCTGCTCAGCTCTTGGTTCTTCCACCCAGGAAAACTATAAATTTTGATTTAAATTTTAGCCACTTGATACTGTGAACTTGGGGCTTATCCACTGCCTAAGGTCTTTTCCTTCTTCCAAACCTTTACATTTTTCTGCCTTCTGTGTGTTAGTGGTTGCCTGACTGCAATAAAAGCTTAGATGTCATATAATTCTTCAGGCATGAGTGGAATATATATTCAATAATCTGAGTTTCAATCACATTATCTATATCCATATTCGTGTGTATGGACAGTAATCATTGGCTTCTATGTTGAGAGAGAGAGAGAGAGAGAGAGAAGAGAGAGAGGAATTTTTAGCTTGTATCTGTAGAAATTTTGCTTCAACAGGAATGACTCCTCAGTTTTAAAAAGAACTTTCCCTGGGCATGGTGGTTCATGCCTATAATCCCTGGAACTTGAGAGACCAAGATAGGAGGATTGTGAGTTTCAGATCAGCCTGGGCAATTTATCAAGACCCTGTCTCAAAAAACAAAGAAGGCATGTTGGCAGCACAGATCACCAAAATAATTTCAGCATATATGAACTCGCCATAGTATTTGAAGAAGTACGTGTATTGCAAATATATCCAAATGAAAACACTGAAAATGTAGTGAATTTTCTAAATATCTGTTTATTGTAGCAGAATTTCTGTTTTCTCCCTGATTTAGACTTACATTTTCCAAAATTGTATAGTTGACAAGTATAATACAGAAAAATATTATCTTATAAATTATATATATTCTAATCTCTAATATGAAGTGTGCTCTTAACTTTGATGGATGTTCGCATAAAACATTTCTAGCAGTAAACTAAACATTGTGATTAACGTCCTTAAGATGCTCCTCCTCTCTTGGAAGAAGCTCATCTCACCCGTCTTGCTACTTTCTGAAGCAGCGCTGGAAGTCCTCTTTCGTGAGACTCTTTCGTTGCATCACCCATGCCTGACTTAGTATCTTGAATCAATTAAAATCATTTACTTCTTGGGGTCCTTTTGACCTTGGGCATGAGCCAGAATTTGCGTGGTGCCAGATATAGAGAATAGGGTGGATGAGGAAACATGGTAAAATTTATTTGGCAGAAATTGCCATACCAGAAGTAGAGTGGGACAGGGAGCATCGTCGTGATGGAGGATGGGATCCTTTGCCCATTTCTTGGGCCATTGTGCATGCACAGCATTTCTAAAGTGCTCCATTTAGTGCCCTTACAGTATTCACTCAGGCTAGTGTTCCTGCGTACAAACTCAACTCGCACAATTCCATCTAAGCCAAAAATCACAATCAATATCATCTTGACATTTGCCCTTGACTGACGTACTTTTTTTTGCATAGGAAAACTGCATTATTGCTACTGGGAACTAGGAACTTTAGTCTCCAAGGCATAACAGTAGTCCCAAGTTTTGTCTCCTGCAATGACATTTCTTAAAAAGCCGGAATCCAAGCATCATAATTGAGCAGCTTCAGTGAAGTGTGAAGTCTGTGATCCATGATTGATGCCACACTTTAACACACTCCTCTCAGTTGCAGCGCACAATGGACTGACTGCAGCAAACAAGTTCGGACTTGTTGCACACTGTTACTAAGGCGCAGTGCACCGCTTCTCATCTTGAAGATCCCTGCTTTTCTGTTGGGTGGTGTGGAGAGGCAGCATTCACTGTATTTTGTGATCACATCTCATATACGTCGTGGAATAAATAGTACTTGGTTATGTTCAGATTTTGTTCTTCAGTGGCTACAAATTGCACGACACTTACTTAGTCTAGGATCTGTTCAGAACAGCTGTCAGTCAGAGTCCTGTGGAGGATGAGCCACTGGCTTTTATGCCATGAACGTGAGAGGACTTCCAATTGAGTGGAGAGCGCTCAGTCAATGCTTCACAAAGGTTCATCAGCTGTTTGTAATTCATTTATACTCCTAATGTTTACCTAATCTTAACAAGCAACCCGTATTGAATAGAGCAATAAATATACTTTTGAATGAGAATAAATGGGTAGGGTCAGATTGATTTACCAAATAATGTAAATGGATTGCAATCTATAATGCAACCTGCTGACTTCAATAAAAGCTCAGATATTGATTGACTTGTCCCGTTGGTTGTTAGTCACTCATTATGGACCTTCTTGGACCATGTATTTCACCGATTTTTAAAAATAAACAACACGACTATGAGAAAATTCATAAAGCACCTATCCCCTAACCATAAAGCAAGGCAATTACATTGTGAAAAAGGTTAATTTTGAGCAAATGATCAATACTTATAATAGAAAAAATCAATAGAGAGAAGTGAAAGCTACTAACTGTAAATTTTATTAATAAATTGAGTTTTATGGATAGAAAACTCTATAAAACAACAGTGGAGTGGTAACTGGTCAAGTTAATTTTCCTAAAATGCCAATTAATGATTGCAGAGGACTGGGTTTTGACTTTCTCTTATGCCTGACGGAAGTCTGAGCTTTGATGAGGCTGAGTTCAAATCACATTATCAGTTTTAGCTTTGCAAATGAATCTTCTTTGAGTTGTCCTTTCTTCATCTGTCAATTAGAATTAATACGATTTACACAGTGAGATTCTTGGGGTATTAAATAATGTGTCAAAAGTGAAAAAACTTCTGAATCAATGTCTCTGTATCTGTAATCCTTTTAAAGCTATATCATTTTGCCCTCATTCTTTTATTCCTGTGGTGAAACTGGGTGTAATACTAGCCTATATTTTCTAAACAGATAAAATAGAGTACTTTTTGCCTACTCTGTTCCACTTGGGTCCACTCTCACGATACTCAGACCTGAGAGAGTGCAGGTCTGGCCATCCCAAGTCAGGGACTATGGGGTCTGAGGGGCAGGACATGTGGAGTCTTCTCCAGACCTGAAGGTTGGATTCAAGGTCATGTTGAAGGTCAGGGCAAGTCAGCAGTGAAGGAGGAAACAAAGACCCCAGAGGCAAACTGACGGGATGTTGGCAGCTGCTGGGCTGGCCCCGGGGGAGTGAATGGGCTGCCTGGCTTTGCGGGGTTGGCTGGGGCCTCTGTTACTAAAGCACATCTACTGGGGCAGTGCGACAGGCTGGATTCTGCCTTTCGGAACGGAATGCATAGCACATCTCCTCCTTCTTACCCACTACTTTTTCTACACTATAAATTAAACTTCCAAAGAACTGAAAATAGAACTAACTAGAAAAGGTGCTAATGGTGAGATCTAAGCAGTGGTTTGTATATACATACAAACCAACATACACGCACTTATGCATGCCACAGTTCACTGACTGGAAGTGAAGCACCTGGACTGGGTTCCCTGATGGTACCCAAAGCCTCTCCACCCCTACAGGAGAAGGGCATCTGAGAGAGGACCCCTGTTTGGAAGCCAAGCACCTTTACGTTTCTAAGAAATAATTTATGGCGCAAGGCCATCGACTGTTGCGGGGACGCGTTTCTGGAGAGACATGGCCGTGTGTACAGTGAAGCAGTACCAGCGGCAGTAGAGAATGAGTTTCCAAAACCTTGCATTGTTCTGTATTTTCTCAAATGTGAATAGAGGGGTATTATGACAACTATTTATATAAGTGATAATTAGAGTGTAAATTGACGGTGAAGAGGTACATCGTTGTTCAAAAATTTTATTTGTGATTTTAGTTTAATACTGAATATAAAATAGCTAAAATTGAGGATGGAAGGATCGGATTCAGAGCGTCTTTTATTAATAATGTGAAAAAAATTTAAAGTGTCTGAGAAAATACTTCCTCGCTAATGAGTTAGACTTTAAAAATTAAGAATATAGCCAAAGGTTCCATTTTTAAGACCCAGAAAAAAGAAAAATTCCCTCTGACTACGTGTAGTATTTATGTGGTACACTGAATGAAGTCAGATATTTAAGTACCTCTAATTGCTTCATTTTGGATTAATTAATGCTCTGAAAAATAGCTACTTTAATTATATTTTAAAATACAGCAAAATCGAAGAGGCAGGCATGGTGGCGCCTGCTTCCAGTCCCAGCATTGGGAGACTGAAGCAGGAGGGCTGGTAGAATGGATTAAAGAGCAAGGCCCAGTCTTGAACCCCAAAAGCAAACAAAGAAAAACAGTAATAGTAATTAACAAATACATGAAATAAAATGGAGCAAAATCCTGATTTTGTGTCTGGCTCACACACGTCTCTCGTCCATCTTTTCCAGGTTTATTCCCTGCTGTCCTGAATCTTGCTTCCAACGCGCTCATCACGACCAATGCGACCTGTGGAGAACGAGGCCCCGAAATGTACTGCAAGCTGGTGGAGCACGTCCCCGGGCAGCCCGTGAGGAATCCCCAGTGCCGGATCTGCAATCAGAACAGCAGCAACCCCAGCCGTATGTATTTTACATAAATTTATGGCACTGGGTAGGATCTGCAACGGAGAAGAGATTGTGAGGCCAAGTTGCATTCCATTCAGAGAGCTGGCGATCCTAAGAATTCCTAGAACTTTTCTTTCATTGAGTCTCTTTATGACCCCAGAGTCCCTCAACACATGTCAGGCTGGGAGCTCCTCACCTGTACCAGGCACAGTGGTTGGAGAAGACTCTCTAGCCAAAGCCCGGCACAGGCATGAGGTTTACTGACTCCAGGAAGGGCATTTAAAGGTGTGTTTATTCTCTGGGCTTCAGCTGTTTGTCAGTTGCCTATGTGCCAGGTCCTTCATTCAAGACCCAAGAGGGATAGGCTTGGTTCTTGGCATCCATGAGGGAACGCATGGGCAAGAAGCTGCCTTTCGCTGTTTCATGTGGCAGGTTCATGGGATCCTGGGGGAGAGAGAAGAGGGTCACAGATTCACTCCTGGTGGAGGTACAGGCTCACTGGAAGTTAGAACTACGTTGACAATCAAGGATAAATAGCAGAGTAGGTAAAAAGGTGAAGGCAGGAAAGAAAGAAGGAGTGTCAGGAGGAGAGCTCAGAATAAATAGAAATCTTACTCAGGGAGCTAGAAGTAGTTAGAAAAAGCTAGAACTAAATTGTCAAAGAGCAGAGCAGAGCTGAGTCCACTGTTAAAGGCCATGCACACACTGTGGAGGGCCTTGTAAGGAACAGGAGTGCTTCAGGGAGAAAGGCCCACACAGGAAGTTTGGACTTGTCATACATTTATTCAGTTTTAAATTGAGTGATAGGGAAGTCTATGTAAATGACAAATCATCACAGGCTTCTGGGGAAAAGGTGAACCATATGCCGAGAGAGAGTACAAGTTAGACTAATCGATGTAAGGCCATTATACAAGGAATAACGTACATAAACCTTGAAAGTATGAAATAGCAAGATTTATTCGGAGAACTCTAAGTGATTTAATTTAACACATAAAGAATTTGAATTTGAGTTTAACATGCAACAAGAAGAATGGTACTAAGCCGGGCATGGTGGTGCACGTCTGTAATCCCAGCACTCGGGAGGCTGAGGCAGGAGGATTGCTGTGAGTTCGAGACCAGCCTGGGCTACACAGTGAGTTCCATGTCAGTCTCAACTACATAGTGAGACCCTGTCTCAAACCACCCCCCCAAAAAAAGGCACTAAATAAATTTAGAGATGTACATTAGAAAATTATCATACGCATCATCTCTCTATATTCATGTATCTTACATAGAAGATAAAATGAATATCTAATAGCCATTGTGGCAAGTTATAATAGGACTAAAGATTCATAATTTATATTGATTTAAAATTTGGTTAGTTTTTCTTATCTTTTCTCTCTTTGATAGAATAACTTTTAGACCAAGAAAATTAAGAAGCTACACAGATTTTGCATATACCCCTGTATCAACAGATATAGGACCTCTTCCGTTACCAATATCCCCCTCTGGACTAATAACATTTTATTTATTTATTTATTTTTGGTACTGGGGATCGAACTTGGGTCCTTGTGTTCATGAGGCAGGCAGCAGAACCCCTGAGCTAAATCCCCAGCCCCTGGACTGATAACGTTTTAACAGCTGAAAACCCTACACTGACATATCATCACCACCCAAAGTTCATATTAGGACTCACACTTGGTTGTCAATGTCCTATGCATTTGGACAAAGTTACAATGAAATGTGTCCCTCATTCTGATATTGCATAGTTGCTTTTCTCTCTTTTAATGTAAAATTTATAAAATAAAGGTTTCTCTCAAAATTAGCATATTTCAATAACCTAAAAAATAATTGGAAGCATTGTTCATTTTTTCTTAGAGCCAGATAAGAGGAACAATACATAATATCCTTTATTGTGGTTAATTGAGGGACACAGAAATTAAAGTATTTAAGATGTTATATTAATAACATTATAGATTGGTGCTTCTGTGATTCAATGAGAGGTGTTGCATATCACAAATGTTAGCAAAAAGTTAAGACACCAAAGGTGGCCACCATCAGGAACCCGTAGGAATGACTGGTTAAAGCCTGCTGTGGTACAGGTGCAGGAGAGGTGTGTGGTGCACAAATTCTGTGTTTTGTTATTCTTTGTATGGAATCATGAGAGCAAAGGACCTGTGTCAAAGCCCCGGGAAAACATTACAAGCTTAAGAAAAGTATGAAATGGAATCCAGGAAGAAGAGGAAGAAAGACAGCATTCAAGGAAAGATATCAGAAAGAGGCATGAAGTATGTAAGGAAGGAAAGAATTTTCAGGAAGAAAGAGTAACCAACACTGTTGAGCGCTTATAAATTACTGAGCGAGACACATATACTATAGGTTTCCCTGAATTTGACAATATAGGAATCACTGGGTCATCTTGTTAAAGCAGTCAGTGGGTTGCTGAAGGCAAAATCCACATGAAAGAGTTGACTAATATCGAAGTAGGAGAAAGAGGAGAGGGTAGCAATATTTCTTCATGTATCCCTGGTGCAAAGAGCATAGGGGACATTGGTAAAGGAGAATATGGTGCTGGGAAGGTTTCCAAAGATGAGAGGCATCTGAGTGGGATTAGATTCTGAGAGGAAAACACAAGACAATGGAGATGAGGTTTCTCTTGAGGTAAAAATAGATGGATCAGTAAGTGCAGGTGAAAAGGCTTAAATCATGAGATTTCGTACCTTTTAACTGACATGATCAGAAAGAAGGGAGAGTAAATGGTGTAGTAGAGAAAGTAGGGAGAGTAAATAGAAGAGAATGATTGGTAAGAAATTATTCAGTGATCCAGACTTCCTTGTTAAACTCTGAGCCTAGGTTATTTTCTCAGGGAAAGAGGCAGAAATTTAGATTTTCTTTTTAGCAGAGTTAGAAGAGATGTTTGAGCTAGGTGAGGATAAGATGAGCGTTGCAGGTGGAGTACAATAGAAGTAGAAAATATCTGGACTGATCCTGGGAGTATCCCAGAGAAAGGAGAATAAGATGACAAGGAAATTAAAGCAAGATTATAAAAAAATGAATTGATAGATATGGGTTTTAGATTCATTAGAAAAGAAGATATACTCAGATGGAGAGAACCTACTGCCAGTTGAAGGCCTGGTGCCATCAATGATTTCAAGCATGAACATAGCGTTAGGGGAATGTTGGGTGGGGAGATGGTAAGAATGGGTAGCTGTGTGCTTAGGAGGGATAGGAGGGAAACAGAATAGAAACAGCAAAATATATTAAACAACATATGTATATACATACACAGTACGTATATAACATTTATAAAGTAATACACATACTAAATGTTAAATATGATCATGTATATTGTAGAATTTATTGTAATATGAGTGTATATTCATAGAAATACACATACATAAATGTAGTTATACAAAGAAAAAGGAGAAAAGGAAGTAAATGTATACTATCACAGTCAGGCAGAATAATGCAAAGACTGGAAAGGAAATAAATAATGGAGTGGAGATTCTTGATTGGAAAAATTGATAAGATGTACCTACCAAATTGAGTCAAAGACCTATTCTATAACTGAATGGTCTGTGAAGAGGTCGGCCAGCTGGGAGAAGTGGGTCATGGAGGTACGACCTAGAGGACTGTATCTTGTCCCTGGCCCCTCCCTATATTTCTCTGTCCAGTCTACTCTGCTTCTTGGCAACCATAAATTGAGTAGCTTTCCTCTCTCACACCCTTCTGCAGTGGTGTCTCTGCCTTGAAACCAGCCCACCATGGACTGAAACCTCTAAAACCGTGAGCCTCAATAACCGCTCTGCACTTATATTGTCAACATCAGCGATATTGTCCCAACAACAGCAAAGTGGATCAATACAGGCATAGAGTGAATTAATTGTTTCACTAAAACATGACACATATGTTTCCCAATGTTTGCTTACTTATAGTGGGTTTTAAACTCTCCATAGCCTCAATTTACTTTATTTTTAAATGAACTGATTCATTAAATTTCAAAATCATGTTTTGGCACTGAAAACCTAGAAAGAATAGAACCCCACAATAATTAAAATCTAGCAGTAAATCACATGAATATATTTTCATAAAAGTTGAAGCTATAAAGGATAAAAATTCCACAAATTTAATGAGCTTCTAGAATCAATCTAGAATGTCTACACTTAATTATCATACAACAGAATGAAACTTGAATTTATGTTAATAGATTGTGCTTCCAATCAAAACCCAACAGAACGAAAGGTTTACCTGTGATTCCCTAGCCAGTTTCAAATGTAGTGAGCCAATGGATTGACTTGTGTAGCTTGTCCCTGTTGAGGATATTATACATTTCTATCTCCTTTTAAAAGAGGAACTCTGCCAACAATTAGTATTTGCAAATTAATGATGATTAAATTTTTATAATGGAGACTGTGGTTAATTGTTGATTCATCTCCCTGTTTTCTTTTCATGACTAATTCTCTTATCAATTTGACCTGAGGTGGCAAATATCAAAATTTCTAATTAGCTTCTCTCTCAATTTCCTAAAAGCCATGAATTCCATTTGGTAATGTGACTGTGTGTTTCGGGGGGGTGTTTCTCTTATATATTAAATATGCAGATTTTGTGGAACATTCAGGACAATGTTTGGGAAATGTTAGCTGTGATATTTACTTTTCATCATAAGTGATGCCAGCGATATTTCTCTTACTCTGATTCTGAATGTGCCAATTTCATACCCCACTCACACCACCAGGAACACTTTTTTGATATTTCATTATGCTTCTGGTATTTGCTGTCCTTATAAAGACAACACCTTTCCTGACTTCTACTGAATTTATCCAAAGTAATTTTTAAAATACTCAGCAGTTTCACTTTTCAAAATGAGACAGGATGCCCCAGCTCAGTGAACTGTTAGTGAGATAAGATTTGATATAGAATAAGGTCTATCCAGCTGTTTTTTAAATCAAAAGTTTACCAATGAAAATGCAATGTTATCTTTTCCTATGCATTTATGTCAATATTTAGATTTTAAATATACCAGAAGTCAAAAATATAGATTTTACGTATTTGGTTAAAGACTATAGCAGATTTTTAAAATAAAATTAATATATAAATAAAGATATCACATATCTAAAATGGCAAATGTAATGAATATTCAATTTGTAATAAAATATTTTCTTTTAAAGATGATTTTATTTAATGTCAGGATCATTGCATGGGGAACTAAGTTTTGCTTGATTTTTATTATTTTCAAAATTTTTATTCAGTGTGAATTTTCTCTAGTTAAGACTCAGAATGGTGTACATCTTGAACAGATGTCTAATTTATTTCACATATGTGTACAATAAAGGCCAGATTATTAATAGTTGCAATGATCATTGGTTAGTCTGTGAGTAAAGGCTTCCCATTCAAGATGTTTTTGCTGGTCAGTGGCAAATAAAATAAATGAGAATAGCAGTCTATATTTTAAACAGAAATAAAAAGAATATATTCTAAAGAATTGTCCTTTATTCTGATTACTATGGCTTTTTAAAAATCTCTGGTTGGATTCTAAATGTGCATTCATTTTTGAAATATAAGTTATGCTATCTCAAATGGTAGTAAACATAGATTGGGGGTTACTCTTATGAGAGAAAATCAAAAACTAGGATTCATATCAATTCCAGAAATCTCTCATGAGCATTTTGTTGAAATCTTACAGTTCCTAAAGTTAGGAATCTGGAAACCACTGCTATGAGTGGCAAATGTTTCTTCCTGTTTCTAGGGTGTCACAGAATTTAAAGGACTGGTCCATGGTATGTTTAAACACTGCGTGCTGAAGACAGAAGAAGTAGTCAGCTTCTCATCTGCCAGGTCCTCGTTTCCAGATTCTGTGAAAGGAGACAAAAAAAGAACTAAGATGTGCTTTGTGCATGTTCCAACTCCCTGTCATGAATATAAGAACCATGTACTGCAAAATGTATTAATGAATCGTGTGCTCGTTAACTCTTAGCGTATATCATCATCATTCAGGTGTATGTCTGAATTATTGAATTATGTAGGCAAATTGAGAGCCCATGATTAGTCCTCTTAGTGATCTGATCTGTTCGTTACTTGAGGCCGTTTTAAAATTACAAAACAGCATTACACCCTAATCCAAAGGTTATTCACAGACCACTCCTTTGAAAGCTTTTTCCCAGGGAATTAGTTTTCTACAGGTTCTCAAGACTGATGCCCTAAAGACTACTTAAACCATAATGAACAGAAGAGACCAGGCAAGCTCAGCTCCACTCAGTGTGCATTTCTAAGGGCAAATGTGCTAACTTTCTGGACAGCCTTTTTTTGTTTGTTTGTTTGTTTTGTTTTTTGAGACAGGGTCTCTCTATGTAGTTGAGACTGACCTGGAACTCACTATGTAACCCAGGCTGGTTTCGAACTCACAGTGATCCTCCTGCCTCATCTTCCCAAGTGCTGGGATTACAGGCGTGCACCACCACGCCCAGCCCTATGCTAACTTTCTAATGAGCTGTAAGGAATTTGGATACATGTTCATGGCAGCCCAGGGAATAGAATAGAGACATCAACAAGACCTGTACTCCAGCCATCCTCCCCCATCTGCAGGCTAGGCCTATTGGGACTGAGATGAGGAGAAAAGAAATAGAAATTTTGTTGCTTGCAAATGAGAAGCAAATATAAAAGATGTAAATCAATGAGAGGGAACCAAAGGTAGTGGCCACTGTCGTGGGATGGGGGAGCTGAGCTGCAGAAGAGGGGAATCCACCTTCTGAGGCTTGTGAAAAGGAAGGGTGCTCTAGCCAAGGACTGTAGGGTCCCTGGTGCTTGTCCTCACATACTTTCCTATATCTGGTCTCCCTTTTGCTTCTCACAAGTCCTCTTCTCATCTGTCTGGAAGATGGGTGAGAGAGGACCTGTGTTTTTTGGGTTGGCTGGGGTTTTTGTTTCTTCGTCCTTATTGTTTAGATACCTTCCTAGTCTAGAGTCACTGATTTTGGGCCCAGGCTAACTTTGGATAAAAGCCGTAGAGTTTCTTTCATTATATTTTACAATAGTGGTAGAAACATAGCAAGTTAAAGACTTGTTGGGGAAAAAAAAGAAAATCCCATAGGAGGAGTGTGACAGCATTTTATATTAAATCCAGATACCTGTTGGATTGCCCGAGTCTTGATAATAAAGAATGTGTCACAGAGCAAATCTTCACATGCACTTCAACTACAATCCAGGATGCTGTGCATCTGTTAACAAAGTTGATGGCATACTAGAGCTGTCTCAGAAGAGTTTTTGCTTTAAGGAATGATTGACACATCAATTGGATTTCAATATTATTTCTTCACACTTAATTTCTATACTTATCTTTAAAGTTGCCCAATTTTGTTGATGGTTGGAAGTCTTAGCATCTAGCTATTTCCTACTTCAATGAGCAGTGCTATGGAAAAAAATGTCATTAAAGGAAATTCAGTTGAATATATGCCTTGCTGTCTTACTAATGTTTGATATCCACAGGAGGATTGTTTTAACTTACTTTTGCATTTCTTCTTTGCAGAAATAACTATAAACTAATCAGATGCTTTTTTCTCCTCCTTTGTCACGCAACTGCTGACTTACAGAGAGACATCCAATTACAAATGCTATCGATGGAAAGAACTCTTGGTGGCAGAGCCCCAGTATAAAGAATGGAATCGAATACCATTATGTGACAGTTACCCTGGATTTACAGCAGGTATGGCACCTCTTATCATTTTCCACTTTTGAAACTGTATCTTGCATTTGTTATCTGTTTAGTCAGTAGCTTCTAGTTGAAAATACACACAAATATATATAGACACTTTCTTATTTCTCTCTTTTATTTTCTTGATATAAGGCAAAGGGGTCTTTTTATTGGGTATATAATTATTTTAAAGTATTTTGCATTTATTTCTAAAACAAGTAAAATGCCTCCGTGTGAATGGTTTAGAAATGAACTTGGAGCTTAATCTACAGGAACTATGTGGAGTTAATGATGAAAATATGGATCAACAAAATCTTATAGGAAGAAAACAGGGCCAATTTTAACTTTTAAAACATGACAGTATTCTCTCTCTGCTGATGGGGTATGCACTGAAACGTTCCTGGATAACAAGGCTCTTGAGTAAATTGCCTCTCATTACTGAGTTGAGCAAGCTGTGACAGTTGAGTCTCAAATTAAATGAGGGCCACCAAACAAGGTAACAAGCCTTGTAGTTAGATAAAATTGATGTTGGAAGTCAGAGCTTGTGTTCCACAGGCCTGGGTGCCTTCTATGCTTAATTTTCTTCTTTCTATTTGTAATGGTCAGGCCAGCCTGAAGTTATTAATTAAGAGTTACCATCACCCCAAATTAGTGAGACCTTCAAGTGGGTTGAGGGTGGAAATTGAAAAAATGTTCCCATATTTTGTAGTTATTCTAAATATAAAGTTTAATTGGCCAAAGGCTGAGACGAGAGACATTGAACGGAGATGACCTCTTTGATTCAGCCTATTTTTCTTTCATGCTCTGGCACTCGTATCGGAAACACACTGAGCCACTTTTCTCTGGACCAGTGTTGAGACAGAGTAATAAGAGTGCTTAGAAGTGGGGCAAGAGGATTGGCTAAGATAATGACATATCTCCTACTGTCCATGTCATGGTTTTCAAAGGTTTCTGTAGGAAGGAGAAGCACCAGCTGGTGACCCCAGACCTGGGAGCACTCCCTCCATGCTCCAGGCCTTGGTCTCTTTTGATGAGAACCAGAGAGAGCTGAGTGAGCAAGCTGAGGCTCCGCAGGACCTGAAAAACTGGGTGGCATAAAGGGCTCAGGGCTTCAGCTAAATCCCAAGTCGTGTGGATTTATTTCCACCTCTGCTGATGTACAGCAGTTGAATGTCAACCCAGAGGTGATGATGTTTCCCACAAATTCTCGGCACACCGTGGCGGAATGGTGAGGCACAGCCCCACACTGATCAGTCATGCTTTAGGTCAATTAATCCTGTGCATGGATTCCCTGAGGATTCCAGCCTCAAAATGGACTTCATCCCTCCTGGATGGAGGCAGCTTGGGCCCTTACCGATCACAGCAGTCCTCTTCTTTCATGTGATCACTGCACGTCTGCCTTTCCAGTCAAGGGTGAGTCTGCTGCCCATCGACTCAGGCCATCTCCTGGGATAGGGAATCAATAAACAGTGATAGTTTATGGCTCTGGTTTACTCTCTGCTTATTCTTTCAGATTGCGCATGGAGCCAGAGTGTCAATTATTAATATCATTTGTACAAATCACTTAAGCTGTCCCTTGAGCTTGACCACATTATTTATTTGTTATCAAACACAGCAGGATATTTTCTTTCTGATTTACAGTTGGATGGTGCAATCACCATTTAGTCTTCGCTAAATCATTTCTCTCTGATTTATCTGTCATTAATTTAGTAAGTCCAAGCGTTCACCTGAAGGGCAATAATTTCAGGAAATGCAGTTATAATTTCTTGAATTTGCTTTGCATCTGCACTTATCCATTCCTATGTGGTATCTTTAAAATTATGTGGATTTGTTTTTCTGTTTTTCCTTCTTCCCAAGGAGCCTTGAAATGAGTGTGTATTTCAGGGATCTTTTATAGTTGAGTTATCAGCATGCGTGGTAGAATTCTATGCAGAATCAAGGTCTACATGACTCTCACGGCTGGAATCTACCAAACGGAATTGTTATACAGACTGAGTGCTCAGAGTCTTATTTTATTGTTTGGTGCCTACCCGAATCCTTATTTACTTTTGACTTCACCTCCTTCTTGCTCATCAGCCTACCATGGGTTTAAAATAAGGGAAAAAGATCATCTACACAATGAAACAAATGCTTCTTTCTTTCTTTTTTTTTTTCCTCATTGAGTTGACTGGTACATTTTAGGTATACATTATAGCTATATTCATTATTGGAATCTTGTACCTTTACATGACAGGTCTTGGAACAAATGCTTATTTTTACTGGAGTCGGGACTTTAATTCAGTGAATTATGTATGAATTGAAGCAGGTTTTATAAGAAAAATTTTTGATGCAATTCATTAGACCAAAAGAAGCTTCACATTTCTGATTTGGCTTTGGATTTTGGAATCCTAAACTGTGGACGTACTTACTCAGCTATGGAGCAAATCTGTAGGAAGGGACATTCTAATAGTGCTTTAGCAGCAGCAAATGTGGACTTCCTTTATGATGTTACTTATACAATAACCCTATAAGGCAGCTGGTATTTAATAGTAGATGAACACCAAGACTAGGAAAAGTTAAGGGACTCAGTTTCCCTTACAAAGCTTAGTACAGTGGGGCATGAATTTCAACAACATAAATCCCAAACTCAGACTATGAAACTCAAGCTATAAAAAAGCATTTTCTGACAGCAATCCTAGGGAACTTACAAGAATTTTTGTTAACTATATTTTCAAGGAATACATATATGGTTTGGGTTAAATAAACACCTCACCATATTTTCTTGTCTTATAGGGGAGAATGTAACCAACATGTGTGTTGTTATAAAATGGGACTAGGCCTCTCATTTTCTAGTACACAGTTATTATGCCTCTAAAATGGCATGACTTCTATCTTTCTACTTCCAGCGTGAAAAAGAGGGTATTAGGGATTATCCAGCTTGGAGTCAAGGAAAGTATTGTTGTAAGGAATAGGCAAATATCACTAAATGTTTGTTTGTCATTGCTTCAGCAAGAGTTTGACCATTTATTAGTTTTTTTTTTATTTTGAGATTGTGATATTTGACTTGTGCAAGTGTTTTCATTGATATATTCTTGACTCCTCTACTCTTAATTAATTACTACCTTAAATATAAACAACAGTCATTACAGATTATACTGGGCAATTTCTTTCCCATTTTAACATTCAAAATAACCACTAGGAAAATACAATTGCTTTTTCAGAAGAAAGTAGTTTCTTGTTTTATAAGCAGATTGTTCTTAGACATTTATTACGAAGAGATTATTAACTTTTCCAAATTCTATTTACTCAAACATATCTTGAATAGATGGTTTAATCATGCTGTGCTTCAACATCTAGAGTAACAGAATAAATATCACAATATCATGGCAAGAAATTTGAAATAATGATAATAGCAGTACGATAATTAAATTCCATCTGGCAATTATAGTCATTATTGGGACCTAGAATGAACATAAACTTAAGTAGGAGCTTAAATGTCCCAGTGATATATACACAAAAAAGCAATAAAATAGCAAATAAAAACAAGCAGCAATTTCAAAGATAATAACAGGCTCTCAAAGAATAGTAAAATGTGCAAAACTTTCTATTTCAGTCTCTTTCCAACAAGCTCTCATGAGAAGCTGGGGATTTAGCTCAGTGGTGCTGCTGCCTGCCTCACAAGTACAAGGTCCTGAGTTCAATCCCCGGTACGAAAAACAATTTTTTAAGATATCATGAGAATAGTACAATGTCTTACCTCATTTAATGAATTTTTTAATATGGACATTCAGTCCTGCACTTTGACTTGTTTAAGGGGAAAATTGATCAGTATAAGACAGGAAACACAGAGGATCAGCTTTTTAGTAGACTTTTCTTTTTTTTTTTTAGCACATATTGAAGCCGTAGTCACTTCCGGATAATTCAGGAATGCTGTGGAATTACTTATGCTTACCTGTAGGAGTCTCTTTCAGTTTACAGCAGTCCACTTCTCTTCCTGAGATCACGTTTTCAACCTAATTGTTTCATTCCTCAGTGTAGACATATTTAGTAGAATGTTTGACAATTTTAAACAGGAATTATATTTAGGAGAATGGGTTATATTTAGAAGGAGGATGAATCTATATACATATTATTATACTTTTATAATCTATGTGGATAGCATAGATGATATTTTTCTTAAAACCTAGAATCATTAATGTAGTGGTTGAATTTATATCTATTAATACAGCATGAAATACAGTGAAATACTTTAACTTTTCTTTCACTTAAATGTATTGAGTGATTAATTTTTTTTACTGAAAGATCATTATTCTCTCATATGAAATTCTTTTTTATTTTTTTCACAACCCTCTTACTTATTCCTGTAGAAAGGAACTGTTGTTGAAGGTCAAATTTTAAAGTACTTTCAAATGCATGTTATTGAACAAAATGCTCTGGAACAACCAATAGGTCAAGGAAACAAATTAAGAACTTTAAAAATATCTTGAGATACCCCAAAAAGAACAATAGTTAAAGTATACCAAAATTTAGGAAATGCAGCAGAAACAAATGCAAGAAGAAAGTTAATAACAGTAAGCATCTGCGTCAAATCAAATAAAAATCTCAAACGACCCGCTAACACTTGATGTGATAGTTTACATACAGAAAACCTTCAGGAAAAACTGTTAGAACTCATAAATTCAGCAAAGATGCAAGTTACAAAATGAACACGAAACATCAGTAGCATTTCATGTACTATCAAGGAATTACTCAAGAAAAATCAAAAGAGCACTACTTAGAATGACATCAAAAAATAAAATAAAATGTTAGAAATAAGTTAACCAAGCCTGTATACTAAGTATATAAAACATAAATGAAGGAAAGTGAAAACGATGTAAATAAATGGGACCACATCCTGTGTGCACAGATTGGAAAAATTATATTGTTAAAATGCGCATGCCCAATCCCGAGATCTCTGATAAAATTCCGATGATGTTTTTCATAGGAAAAAAAATTCTAAAGCTTCTAGGAAGCTACAAAAGTTATTGAATAGT